TTGTGATGTCCCAAACACTTATGCGTCATTAGCATTCGATTTTTGCAGTCGTGTCTGGTCTTTTGCAGACAAAACGCGACGTGTGGCAAGGCTCATGCGGCCGTGGGCTCTCTCCATTTACAGAGAAACGCAAATAAATGAATCAACGACATGGTCCTATTCTGCTTGTATTGATTACTATGAGGCCGTCTCTCGCGACGACAAACGCACAGGCCCGTATTGATGAGCCGTTGCGAAGCTCCAGGATCCAAGTTCCAAGTTTGATTCACATGTTTAAAGCTTCTCGTGACTTGCAGGATGGAAAATCTCGCATCATATCATGGCAACAGGAGTCGTTAATCATCTCCACCACCGCGGGAATTTCAATAGCATAGCCTCGAGATAAAGGGACGGATCCCAAAAAGTAAAATCATGCGTACCCATGACAAATGTATCAGATATCCCATCCTGGAGCCAATCATGCCCTGTTAGTACACGTACCGGAACGCCGGGTTCGTCCTATCCGTCATCTCTTCTTCTTCCTCAACACGGACGGGAACCTCTCCCCTATCAATAGCTTCCAGCTCAGCAGTCCTCGCCGCCCCCGTCTGTCTGTTGCGCCATCCGTAAAGTAACCTCAGGACAACGGTCACGAGCATGGCGCCTCCGCAAACAGCAAACACGGTAATCTTGGCCGGAAGATACTGCGGCGCATTCTCCTTGCGGAACGTCTGCGGCCCAATAATGTTGGCAATGGAAAAGCAAATAGCGACGGCGACATTTGTTGCCACCTTCTTCGTGTAGCCCTGGGTGTTGGCACCCACGAGGGCGTAGATGAGAGCCAACGGGGCGACATCAAAGTTGATGAGATAGATTCCCGCAAGGGCTCCCGCCTGGGAGTGCGAGTAGAAGGACATGAGGCCCGCCCCAATAAGAGTCGGCACCAGGAGCAAAATGATGGCCAGCCACCGGGGGAAGTTGTACAGAATGGCAAAGGTCCCCGCGAGCGTGGCAAAGACGGATACGGCGCCAGAAGGCATGTTGAGGAGCGCCGCCGTCTTGGGCTTATACCCGAACCCGGCAATCAATGTTGCCGAGAAGGTGGTAATAATGCCAGAGGGAATGACGATGAGGATCGTATTGAGGCAGAGCAGCCATACTTGCAGGTCAGTTGCCGCTTCAAGTATGCCACGGGCCCGGAACACCTTCTTGCCATTGCCAGACTGATCCCTCGCAAGGGCTTCCTTGACCAGCGATTTCTCGCCGGGGCTGAGGAATCTGGCCCTGTCAATGTCGTGAGGCATTCCAAACGTCACAGCCGCGCCGACGGCCAGGTTAAACGCCCCGACGGAAACAAACATGATGCGCCAACTTTCAAACGACGACGTGGCAGAGCCGTGCTGCGCGGCCCAGGACACCAGGCCGCCCAGGGTTTGGCCAGCTCCCAGACCGCAGTACCATATCCCCGTGCGTGGAGTAGCCTGCCGCTTCGTATACCACTGAGACGTAATCATGATGAGAGCCGGGGTGATGACGGCCTCGAACATGCCGAGGAGCGTGCGCACGGCGGTCACGCCGGGGAAGCTTTGCGTGGCCGCGGTGCAGCAGATTGTCACGCCCCAGAGAAGAACGTTGATGCCGAGAACCTTGGTCACGGGAAAGTGCTGGATGAGGTAGCCCTGGGGGAACTCGGCCACGGCATAGCCGATAAAGAAGGCTGTTGCCATCCACGAGAAGTCGTTGCCGTCCTTGAATCCGAGACTCTTGGAGATGCCCATGATGTTGGCATAGTTGATGAGCACCTTGTCAAGGAACTGGAGGAAGTAGCAGAGGAACATGAGCGGCATTATGGCCCAGTCAATCTTGCGGACGGCACGCCGAAGCTGTTGGCCAGAGGTGTCCTCGACCACAGACTGGCTGGAAGCCTCGCAGCTGGACGCCTCCTTATCCAGAGTCTTGTTGTTTTCCATGGCCACTCGATGATGATGTTTGGATGCCGTGGCTCTATAACCACATGTGGTTGCCCAGAAGGATAGAATCCTGTCGGGAGTGAAGATGAATAGTTGGCTGCTGCTACAGCTTTTGACCAAGAACACAAATCCCAAGCGCCGACGATGTCAAAACCGGCTTTTCCCGCAAGTCCAGAGACAAACACGGTCGATGAGGGATCATGCGCTATATACAGAATCGTCTCGCCCAAATCAACAGTTTGCAGCACGCAAACCCGAGGCTGGGGTTGAAAAGGGGGCAGAGATAGGACGGCAAAAAGCCACCACTCACAAACTTATCGCGACGCTTCGGTGCGGATTCCCTGTCGACCTCGTAGCTTGCCCGTCGCGCAACGACAGAGATACACATTGCGCTCCGGGACTTGATAGAGGATTTAGCTTCAGCGAAACGTCATTGTCACGAGAGTTCGCCACAAAAGCCACCTGCGATTGCTACGGGCTACACGACTTCCCCGGATTTTCGTCTCGTCCCGAACCCACCATTTTCGGGACTTGATAGCTTGTCGTTATTCCCACACATCCGAAGAACTACAGACTGGACAAGAATACTCGACTTGATATGCCCCAGAGATTGGGAGACTCCAGATCCGGGGCGGGGGGATATCTTATCTCCCCCTTTACACCTCCTAGTCCACTGTGGCAACACATCTCGCCGTCGCGTGGCAGCAAGGCCCGCGGTTCCGTCCTCGATGGTGGCTTATGCCCGTGCCATGCATGACTCTCTCTGTTCACAGCTCGACCTGCGCAAATGACGAGTCAACGGAAATGATACGCCTGCAATGTACTCCGTACACGCACTGAAACCTAGACCCACGGCGATGTACCTTCCAGCCGAAACCCGTCTTCAACCCCAGAGATGCCGGCCCGTCATGTCGCCGTCGGATCGAGAAAAGTCCCCAGCCTGATGTCGCTCGGTACTGACTACCGTGGGCGCTACTCCATACTTTCCATTCCTGTGGGCCCGTGTGGCCCCGCGGACCGCCTCATCGTGCGGACCGCCTCATCGTGCGCACAACCAGGCGACGGAGACGCAAGGCCTTTCTCGGGAACTACCTGAAGGGTTCGTATGGCAACACAAATAGGCCATTTTGGCTTCCTCTCCCCCCAAGCTCGCCCGAGGTGGCTTTTTCCTCTTTGCTGCCCAAGGTTCACAAACCAAGGCCGTGTAAAGGGTTGACCTCTTTTCCTTATCCGACACCATCGAAGCGACGACGCGCGTGCGCGCACCGCCAAAAGACCCGACCCGATGGCTTTTCAGGGAACAATCTACTGATTCCTATCAAGGACATCAGGCCGTTGCCGCCTATTGCCCACCAGCCACATCGCTCTTCATCATCTCACGAGCATGGCCTCACTATAAGACAGTCGAGAAGGACATCAAGGACAAGTACTTTATTGTTCTTTTTTTTTTTGCAAATCAAGCACACCAGATTGTTGAAAGTTTCACCTCAACTAATCAAGTCAAGAAATATCGGCCTCTCTCATTCCCATACTTGACCAAAAGATACGCCACGGTCGCTATAACAAAAGCAAAACCGTTTAAAGGTCCATGAAGGACAAAGTCTCATTTTTTTTTTTTTTTTGGAGACGCGAAGAAAACGCCACCAAGAGCAAACCGCTCCTTCGGATCTAGCAGCCATGCCGAGCTCCGTTGATCCCAAACACGACCCTTACGACATAGCCATTGTCGGCTCCGGACTAGGAGGCCTCTCTGCAGCCGTTGCTTTGCGACGAGCAGGACATAACGTCACTATTTATGAGAGATATGACTTCGGCGGCGAGGTCGGTGCATCACTCTCCTGCGCGTCTAATGGATCTCGGTTTCTCCAAGAATGGGAAGTCGACATCGCCAAGGCCAGACCCGTCATCCTCAAGGACCTGATTCGACATGACTGGAAGACTGGCCAAGTGTCTGGGACATATCCTCTTGGAGACTATCGCGAGCGTTTTGGAACAGATTATAACAACTTCCACCGCATTGATCTTCACCAACACTTGAAGCACGTGGCTACGACTGAAGGCGGCAAAGGAATCCCTGCGCAGCTCAAGGTCTGGCACAAGGCGGTAGATTTGGACCCCATTGCTGGAAAGATTGTCTTTGAGAACGGTGTGGTTGCTACACATGACCTCGTTGTCTGCGCCGATGGGATCCGAAGCCAAATGCGAGAGAAACTTGGGGTTATCCCGCACTTCACACCCTCGGCTTCCTGCTGCTACCGATGCATCATCCATGCCGACAGGCTTCGGGAGCTCGGGTTGCAGGACTTTGCTGGGAATAGTGCCATCGAATTCTGGGGAGGCAACGGCATTGACAAGATCGTCATGAGTGCTTGTTCTGACCATGACGTCGTCAGTTGCTACTGCTTCTATCCCGCAGAAAAAAATGACTTGAAAGAAGATGGGTGGAACATCTCGACAACAGGAGAAAACCTGGCGGCAACCTTTCCTGAACTGGACGAAAGACTGCTCACCTTGTTCCGCAACGCCGAGGACATCAAGATGTGGCGACTCTATGACCACGATCAGTACCCATATTGGGTGAAAGGCAAATGCTGTCTCTTGGGCGATGCGGCGCATCCCATGATGCCAGACCAGTCTCAAGGCGCTTGTATGGCCATAGAAGACGCTGGAGCCCTTGGGATTCTCTTCGCACCCGAGTACGCCGATTTAGACGTGACTGAGAAGCTTCGTCTATATGAGCTCGAACGGAAGCCTCGCGCTACTCGAGTCCAAGATAGCAGTCGACGAGCAAGACTAGACCTCACAGAGCGCATTGGCTGGAGCAGTGCTAATGACAGACCTGGCAAGTTGACAATTGAAGAAGTATGTGGCTATGATATGCATGCTCATGTGGCCGAGTTGGTCAAGGTGACCAAAGCAGCAGGCTAGTGTGGGCTGCCGTCGGGTTTCCGGTCCATCCGGTTCCATGTATTTTATCGCCAAATTTTGTAGTAAATCGCAAATAGCGTGAATGGGTATGGCCAGGGACGTTGAGTCTTTCCAAGGTGCTCCCTAGAAAACCACTAGTCCGTGCATCTCGTAGTATCGGATTCGTGCCCAGTTCACAATTGCCCCTGTGCCTTCTGATTGATCTCTCCTAGACCAAACACGTTCTACCAGGTCTCTAGCATTATAGACGTAGCCAAACCCACACGTTCGTTCCATGACCAAAAGCCGGTCTTGGATTATTACGCGATGCTCTAGCTTCCAACAAGATCCACCGGCCATAACCAGAGGGAAGAGAATGCATGATTCCAGGGGGCTGCCATAGCGAATCTTTTGCACGCACTCAAGAATACCATCGACATACTTGCCAACTTTTGGATCAGTCAACTCATAGCCTTCAACAATCTGGTGGAGTCGCAGACGAATGGCGTACTCAAAGGCAAGAGTAGCGTGTAATACATCCTCTGTGGCTGGCGTAAGTGTAGAAACAGCCCTTGACATGCCGCCGTATTCGTAAGACCAATTGTTGATCCGATGCTCAATTTCGCTGGCATGTCGTCGGAACGCGTTTTCGGAAGCTTGGTCTACCCTGGTACTTCGGAGCTCAGCTAATGTGTTGATGCGGTCCACTAAATGGAATAGTTCTTTGGGAATGCCGTAGACTGCAGAGTCTTCTTCATCAGGCGTGGAAGACCAAGTATGAAGGGCTTGAGCTTCGGCAGCCTCGGCCCCCATGAGAGGTGGTCTGCATGTTGATGTCGTGGCAGCAGAATCCAAGAATCTCGCTAGGCGAAGCAGGAACTTGTAATGGCCTGTGAGAATATCGCCCTGTTGTTTCCGTAGTGTGATTAATAAGCGCTTCGCGCCTTTCAGGTGGAGTTTCCAACCCTCACTGGTACCGTCGAACAATTCCGTCATGCACAATAGTAAACTACTCACTAGTGCGATATCCGCGCTAGTTGTATCGACATGAGGCAGAAGTCCCGCTAGAGCTTGAGTCGCTTTGCTCTTGTGCAGAAGACCGCGATCACCCATGGCAGGTTGAAGCTTTCGCCAATGATTTGCAGAAAGCGCCAAAATACAATGAAGGACCAGGTCATTCGACTGAGCCATTGGCAAGAGGTAGCTATTGTACGGATTTTCCGTAGAAGCCCGGCGAGACAGTATTGAAGACACAATAGTAGAATAGTGATTCAGTAAAGCCCTGTCCTGAGGCGCACTCAATTGAGGCATGAGCTGTGGTACATAGATCGATAGCGACTGTGATGAAGGTGCTGAATCTATCGAAGCCGTCGGGCTGCCATTGCTGATGGGTGTGATTGAATCGAGCCAGGCCGGAGGCGATGCCGACATATCCCATGACAGTCTCTGAGGGGGCATGTCCGGGGTGAGTTCCCCAATGATTCCCGAGGTGGGCATCGTGGAAGAAGATGGCATTGCCATGGATGACGTCGCCACCGCCATTACCGCAGTCTGCTCAACTGGTCGATTGAAGTTGGCGTAGTTGGAGTAGCCCACTTGTGAGTTGCTACTCGCATGGCTGTACTGACTTTGGTTGTCGAAACTGCCATGCCTTCCGCTGCTTGAACTCGATGCGCTGGGGCTTTTTCGAACAGGTATGTCGCGAATGACCGTTTCCGGTAGTTGGCTCATTATGTTTGAGGATGGTATAGGCTCGATGATGCCGTCGTCGCAGTTGACATCCTCCTTTATGGCCTCATCTGCAGACCCAGACCCGGGTTTGGGCTTGCCGTGTCGTTCTGGAGGCCAGGCGCAATCGAGACAGAGACGCCGGCAATCACCGCAACGTGGCTTGGTCTCGTCGCACTTCTTCTTGCGGCGCTTGCACATTAAGCAGCCGGTCTGCACTCTTCTAATCCTAGCCTTGGGTACGTCGCCATGAGTGTCACCGGTGGTGGTACCAGCGGCATTTCGGGGGCGGCATGGCAAACTGAGTCGAACGCATCGCGCGCAAGGCAAACTGCCATCGCAGGCTTGCTTGATCTGCGCGCAACGATGGCATACAGGGCGGCTATCCGAGCCCATATTGGAGTATGCTGTCGTGGTTGCTATAGCCCGGCGAGCAAGCAAGCGTTCGCCAGATCTTGTAGTCGTAATGAGTCGAGATGCCGGCGGGCCGCCGGAAGTGATTTTCTGTGGCCAAAAAAACGGATCGTTGTCGGCTAATCTTTTGTAGCGAAATCCGAGATGCGTAGACGCGCGAAGGCTCGTCCAAGACTGTGCTTAGGTGAGAAAATAAATGCACCGAGTCTGAGATGTGCAATTAGCATTGAATGAAGGAAACAGAAAAGAAAGATCTTAGATGTTACCTAGCGTCGTGGGACATCTGATGATGGGGGGGCAGCCGCGTGGTCGATTTGGGTGGAGCGTCGACGACTCCGGAGAACTGACACGGATAAGAGGCCAAGATTGAAGACCTACATAAAGGAGGGGGCCAGGGGTCCCAGCACCAATCCGATTTGGGAGGGGTCCTCGCCCAGCTTCTTTTGGTCGGGGAAGTGTGTGGTGGACTGTTCAATGTAAGAAACAGCTTGTGACCCGTCAGTTGCCCAAGTACGCAGGCTCTGATGGCGAGAGATGCGGAATATGCCGTCGTAAACTTGGCAAAGGGGGTTGCGCAATAGGGAAAGAGACAAAGAGGCGACGAGACCGAGGTGCGAAGTTCCTACGTCTGGTATCCTGGGCTTGAAAAACGCGCTCCAAAAGAGGCTCACGGGAGTTTTGGCGAACATGCTCCTTTCGAAGCTTGCTCATCAGCCACCAGGATTCCGTGACTTTGGCCGCCACCTTGTTCCTATCGGTTTCCTACGTACCTAGGTACCTAGGTACTCATTACGGAGACGGTATGACCCGACTGGTGATCCCGTTATGGCAATGACCTCCGGCTTACGGAGTAGTACTGACTTGCTCTTTCCACCCCAAAACTTCCCCGAAGGAAGTTGGCAGTACGTGGGCCGATCGTCAACGCCTGAGCTCACTTCCTACAGCCTCGTCCCAGGAGTACCAGACTCTGTCCATGTTCGGAGTGAGCACTCAACTCATCTTAGATCCATGCTCCCTGCTGACATTGCAGGCTGTCGTGGCTGTTTGCCTGTTCTCTCTCTTCCATCCCAGATGTCCTGGTTGCCGACTGCGGGACCAGGACGCGCCTTGAGCGAGATATCCTTGTCACCATGGACTTTTCACACTTCGTCGTCGCGCCACCGGATGTCCTTGGTTAGATACCTAGGTAGTTGGCCGATTTATCTTTGACCCGATGCGCTGGAGGCGCTAGCAAACACCACCAGACTATCCAAGCATTAAAAATGGAGCATTGCAACCAACCTCTGTGTATTGTGAGTAAGCCTGCCTGTCCTCTGTACCACTTTGGCTGTAGGATTCATGGCGTAATCTGCAACCTGTTTCGTTTTATTAATACTATGACAGGCTCAAAATCGCTCGGCAAACGTTTTGTACGTTTTGTCGCTAAGGGATAAGCCAACGCCCTCGGAAAAGACGCCAGCCCAAGATGGACTCCAGTGCGTTGGCCAACGACGCCATTCTCTCACTCTTCGGCATAAGGATTTACGCTAGTGGAAACCCCGTTTTACCTCCTTGGGAAAGTGGTTTGCAATTGCTCATCGATAATGAACAACCGCCGTCCTTATTGGCTTTGGAAGCTACCAACGCCATGTCCGAGCAACAGCGGCTCCAGGGGCGCCGGGAACGTCTAGTCTGCAAACTTTGGCTAACAAGTAATCCGCTTGCCTGCGTTCCGTTGGAGATAATCAGGCCTTCATCGACCAACAGATAGATATACAGTACATACATATGGCAAATGGCGCATGTGCATCACGCAACATATCGCATCCCAATAATTCAGCTTTAAGCCCCGAGGCATCATACCAGCAACCAAAAGCCTCCCAAAGGCAGCAAGCGTGGGGACCTTCACCGAGAACGCAGCAACGTTCCTTGCAGCGATGCCACACATTCCGAGAGAATAGGATGCTGATTTTCGGGTGCTCGGCGAATCTGACACACAGTCAAAACAGTCGCACACTGGCCGCTGCCAGCCATGTTCTTTTTTCGTTTTGGTACCGCAAATTTAGAGACACAGCAAGGCCCTTGGTTGGACGTTGGGCATAGCTATGGAGTAGTGTGCAACTAGGTGCCTTAATCGGTTCCGTAGGAGGACTAGTTGTGCGACGAACAAGCATATCATTTCCATCCCTGCTTCTTGCTAGGCTCTCAACCAAGCTTTCTCTAGCACACATTGGCGCCATTCGGAGCACGCCCTGATGGTCGTTGATTTGTTACTGACAAGGTTTCATCCAAAATCATCCACTTACTTCCCTACTGCTCGAAAACTTCGAATCTCCTCTCTACGATACTCTGGACAGCTTCCTATCTCGAAAGGATCGAGGCGGGGTGGCTGTTGAAGCGCGTGGGGCGCGATTCCTGGACCCTTGATGGGGGCAATGAAGACCAAAATGAACTAGAACCTTAGTAAGGACTGACAGAGACGATTTCTTAGATGGGGACTCAAAGCTGCACTAACAGCGCGTTGTGGTTTCGTCTCTTGGAAAAGAACTCTCTTTTCCTTCCGATATGCAGCACGACAAGACCAGTCCTGTTAACTATGGCCGACGACAACAATGAAAATTGTGATGACCTAAGCTTGCTAGACATTAACGCTCATCACGCCTCACAGGCTTGGCCCTCGCCACGTTATTCTTGGCCATTGTTCGAGGGCTTTGAGACTAGCCGTCGATTCATGTTAACTAAATTCATGACAACAAGATGAAGCGTGTAAGGTGGCCAAAGCAAAAAGTTATAAATGGAGTACTCATAAATTATTGTATTCCGGCAAATTTCGCAGCCCCCTGGACCACCGCCGGGTCAAACTCATGGACCGTATCTCAAACAGATATTAGGGCCGCCAATGGCCCTACCTGTTTTCTCGCCCCCAACCACCATACTATTGCCGCCAAACCCCTTCCCTCAGTCATGAAGTGCCAGTCGAATTTCTCTGGCCGTCTTGTCGATAAACTGGCTGGCTTGCCAAAGATCCTTATCCATGTGCATAAATGGGTGTGGCACACCCGGGAATCGTTTCAGAGTGACCTCAACACCATTCTCCACCAATTTGTGTGCATAACGCTCCCCTTCATCGCGTAATGGATCTGCTCCTGCAGTGTAGATGACAGTTTTGGCTAGGTCTTTGAAATTGGGAGCATTTAGAAGATTGGCAAACCACCCGATCTTTTCCCGTGCAGCCTTATGCTCCTCGGGATCGGTGGGAAGAGATGACCACTTGAGCTTATCAAACCAAGCCAAACGGCCCCAATTGAGCGTGGGTGCCATTTCATTCTCCTGCATGGAGGGGAAGGGAGACTCAGCGGCGGATGAATATTGTGAAAGATCGTCGATGACGGGAGTTCCCACAGCCACCAGTTTGAGGGGAATGGGGCTGGGCTTATTGTCTCGTGCGAGGTGAGCGAGAGCGAGAGCAATACAACCTCCTGCTGAGACACCTCCTAATGAGATGCTTTCGGGGTTGATGTTGAAAACTCGGGCACCGTGGGCGTGGATATACTTGAGGGCGGCAAAGCTGTCAGTAATACCGACAGGGAAGGGGTGTTCTGGAACAAGTCGATAGGCTACGTCGATGACAACGACGTTGGCCTTCTTGCAGATATGCTTGCAGATATGAGCCTCGGTATCGAGGTCTCCAAGGCCCCAGCCACCGCCATGGTAGTCGATATGAACAGGCCATGGGCCCGTGGTGTCCGGTTCGTAGACTCGAACATCGAGGTTGGCGCCGCTCCCGTCGTCGACCGGAATTTGATGATCGTATATGCGTCCTACATCCGGGGCTGGACCGGTACCGTAGCTGTACAGCACCGAATACTTGGACCGCAGCACTCCGAGGTCAATTGGCCTCAGGGGGGTATTGGCGACGTTGTCGTTGTACAGCTTCTCAAACACGGGGTCGAGCTTGCCTGCCATGGAGGGGTGAATTGGCTGCAAGGCCTCGTGTTTAGCATCGGTGCTCGACATGTTCACCGTTGATGGCACTCAGTACGAGTGTTGCGATGCGTGGTAGCGGTAGCGTGACTAGGTAGTGTTGGATTCGGACAGAAGATTGCGTTAGACTGCCGAGCAGAGAAGACGAGGGTGGATGTGTGTAATAAAGAAGACAATGCAGCAAACGACGTCCTCCAACCTGCGAAATTCTTACCGCGGATTGCCCTACGCATGTACGGACTCTCTGGGTATGGAGTCCATGGAATGCTCAGGACCTTGCACACTTGTTCCAGAAAGGTCAACTGGTCCAAGACTCGCGTCTGTGTCGATATCCCCGCCTCGAGTCAATCGACTGATTGACTCTTCGGATGCTGGGCGCCAGTCTGTGGGGCAGCGCGGCTACTTTGCAAGTCTCCCGTCGTTGCCGTCGCTAAAGTTAGCATTGAAGGATGCAATTGGGGACTTCGTCGTTGCCGCCCGTGACATGGATTGCTGAGAATGACGGGCAACCAGGGCGTACGAGTGCCGAAACAATGGTTCCGACGCTGCAATTGGGTCCATTTCAAAAGACAATGTTCCGAATATGTATGTAACTATATTAATGAAAATTATGGGCCTGAAGCTTATCCGCGGCCATGGAAGACCCCTCTTGGCGTGTTCGGCAGATGTCTCTAGATGCGACGGTGACGGCCCGTTCTTGACAATATGGACCGATGCGTTGGCGCATTGTGTTTTTGACACTGCCAAACTGAAGTCCCTCCCTAAGTAATACAGGATATGTCCCAGCATGTACCAGACCAACGGGCACGCTTACCGTGCACAATAGAAGGGACGGATTGATTGGTGTAGTCTGGTTCCAAGCAACCGGCCGCATCACGCTTCGGACTTTTCGGACTTTGGGCTTAATAATCACTCCAAAAAGTTGGAAAGGTAAGAAAAAGATGGTGTTTGGACGAATTATAATATGTTATATCTAGTGTAAATCGCTGCCCCAGCAGCATTACGCAAGTTCGATTCTG